CTTAAAAGTCCTTAAATTTTTAAAAAATGATTTTTGGTCCTTAAAAGTCCTTAATTTTGGTCAAAATGAATAAACGGTCCTTAATTTTGCTCATTTGACATTTCTTATCATTTCTAATGATTGCCATTCTAAGTGTGAATTGCGATTTCTCATGAATATAGAATTAAAATTACACAGCTCTTAACCAATCTGTTGGCGGATTTGCGTTGCAAACGATAAAAAAAAATTATTAGCTACCCTAGAACGAAAGTATCGGGTGTCTGATTGGCTATTCACACCCAATCTTTTCGAAACAGGTGTTATCCATAAATTTAGGCAGATTGTGATGAAAGCGTGAAGCCGGAAGTTCTTTAAGAGGCGAAAGTGATGATGAAGGTGCTCGAGAAAAAAAAAGGGGTGGGATTCTGAAAATATTTGCCAAAATTAGAACAATCCCAACCTGGAAGGCCACAACCTCTCTGACGCCAATAGGAACGAGATGCCTGGAAAGTGCATTTTCAATAAACTGTGGCTTCATCAAGCTGACTACAAAGACTGGATATTGATGGATGACAATCCTTATAAAGCTAAATGTGGTCTTTGAAACAAATTGAAATTTCTAGAATGGGAGGGTCAGCACTGAAAATTCACATGAAAGCTAAGTTTTGTTTTATCATTTGAATTTGTTTTTACACAGTTTTGCTTACCTTAATTTCTGTGTTTGTTTGAATTAAGCCATAAATTAATTTTTGATCAGCTTCTACGGAGTTTATTCCCTTTTGCACATATATGTATGGGATATCAGGATTATGAGTTTATTTCTGCAGAGGGTCTGTTATCGATTTCGCGGGAAATATGTTGGCTCCATTTCGATTTTAGGTCGCCAGGGGCAAATTCGGTAACGCTAGCCGAAAAAAAGTGAAGTTCAGAAATACGTTTTGAAGCTTCAATAGACAATTAGGAATTTGGTTTAAACCTATGCACAAGGTATCCGTTGCATAAGGGATTTGGCTACTTTTGGCAACTTTATGATGAGCAGTAAACAGGACATATACGATGAGTAGTTAAACGGGTCATTTTGGTGTTGGCGATAATTTCCAAAATTGTGCCAAGGCTGCACCATAAACTAGAATTTTACCAAGTATTTTTATAAAAGGAATACTGCTTTCAGAAGAATGTTATTGAATTTTGATATCACATCAGGTATCCAAATTAGTTGGTCGATATAAAATTTCATTGTGATAATGATTCGAAATTATCTTTTGCTATTAAGCTAATTTCACCTATTTATAACTAGAAATTAAAATAAAAGGCTAAATCCTGAATAAAAAGTCAAGTGTTGAAATGATAATGAAAAATAAAAGAAATGGAAGATTAATAAATTAAAAGAAAATGACCGCTAAAAGCAGAATGGATTGCTACACGGAGAAAACGTGTTCATGATATTGCCAATATAGCATTCGTATGGCAATTTTAGCGATGTAACGGAATCTCTACAGGAATGCTTGCCTAGAATATTTTGCGATGTCGCAATTTTTTATAGATATAGTAAATTTTTTAAGTGTTAAAATATAATGCGTAAGAAAAATTCATACATTTTTGTTTAACAATAAAACCAATTATTGCAGAATGCTCCATCGATAGATAAAGAAATAATGTTTTAATTAAAATTTTGTGAAGTTCTGCTTTTACCGATGGTTGCAAAATGTCCCAGCAGTTGAAAGAGCCATTGAAATATGGGATGACTTGCTACTATACATTAAAAAAGTTGAAATGGGGCAGTTTCAAAAAAAAAAAAAAAAAAAAAAAAATTTATTTAAATCCTTCTCAAATATTTTGGAGAGCAACTAAGGCTAAAACACTTCTTATAAAATTAAATTTTTTTCTCTCTCTATTGAAAATATTTATTGCCTTTCCTTGAATATTATCAAAGCGATAAACCACTTATTCCCTTTTTTGCTGAAGATATCTTGTGGAAACTCTGTAAATGATTGCTTTTAGCACTTTAAAATTTTAAAACTAGAATATTCAAAAATAACTAAAGCAGAAAATCTTTATAAATTTAATTTTAATGATCCAAATTGTTATAATGATAAAAAGTAAAGTTTATTTGGGATTCATTGCTGAGCAGTTAATGAATGATAAATGCCGCAAGAAGGACATTTCACAATCTTCAAGTTTTGCATTGAAACAATAAGGTCAACAATGTGTCTTAACAATGGTACAGCACTTAATGGCTAAATGTCCAATAAATTATTTTCTTATTCGAAATGCATCTTGTATAGACCCACAGTTGATGGCAAAAAGCCCAGAACAAAATGAAAGTAGTTCTAACGGTATTAACGCAGAATAAACGTGTTTTACAAGATAATTGTGATGAAATTCTGCTACAGTTTGGAGAGGTTCTAGACAAATTTACACGAATTTTCTACTTTTGATCCTCGAAATCTTTCTCTTGACACATTTCTCACTTCTTATTTTCATGATTTTCACTATTCAAAAGTATGAAAAATAGTGAAAATGATTCTTATCTTGTCACATGGACAGGCCTCTGTGGAAAGGGGCTGCTCTGAAAATAAAGCAATTGAAATTGAAAATTTAAGTGACTCATCATACATTTTTCAACGTACAGTATTTGATTACATAAAATTTTCTGGAGGTATTCTTAATATCGAAATTAATAAAGAAATTAGATCAGCAGCAGCTTCGATAAATGCTTTTAGCAGATGAAGTCGAGACCAGCAGGAACATTGATTTGTTTATCAAAGCAAATGAACTTAGAAGAATAGTTAAAGAAAAGGAAGTAGACATAAATAAATTAGATGTTAAAATATCTGAAAAATTTCAGATTTAAAAAAAGTATAAATGTTTTGTATCTTTTATTGTATAGTTCATTATTCTAGTATCTTTCAAAAAACTTTTATCTTTTTTTTTTTTTTTTTTTTTTTTTTGTCTTATAGGTCCTTAATTTTTTCTTTGATGGTCCTTAAAAGTCCTTAATTTTCATGTAAGGAAATGTGTACGAACCCTAGAATCTGCATAAATATATGTATGTTTCTCGCATTGTGATAAAACAATGGTACCTAGAGCCATCCAATTTTGAATGACGTAATCCTACTGTGAATATGGGCATCTGAAAGCCCAAACTTGGAATTTGTTTTATTATTGATTTTATATATTTTGTAAAACTTTAAAGAAATTTTTTATTAACAAATGAATGATTTAAAAGCGAGCAATGGCAACACTCTACAGGGGGGGGGGACCTTTTTATATCCAGCATGCGGAACTGTGTATCAGAAATTCTAAAGATGTGCTCATTTTAAAATTATTTTGCGAAATTGCTGTTGAAGGCTCAGGTGTTTGCACACTTTTGTCAGGCTCTTAGGCTGGTAGCCGCATCCTGTGTGTAACTCGTACGGAAAAGAACATAACGTCCCTAACATATGGCAAAATCAGATGAGAGAAAAAAATCTCGTGAGATTGAGTGATGAGCCTCTCGCATATACAGATCAGAAGGTCAGTTCAGTCGCTCAGATGTACAATGTCCGAAGGTGATGGTAAAGCAATAATGTCAACTGGAGCAGCTAACAAGAAATCTTTGCGGAGCTGATGGAATGGCATGCTATTTTCCGGGCCTCTGTAGCTGAAATGGTCGATGCATGGGTGGAGAGAGAAGTCCTTTGGCCAAGGAAGAGGAGCTACTGGTGTAAAAGATTCAATGGTGTGGATTTAAAATAAGTGACGTTGCATAACGAATACCGTGTAGAGCAGTCATTGCTGTTGAACTGAATTTAATGGTTTAAATGCAAAGAACATACACAAAATGTTAAAAAAAAAAAAAAAAAAAAAAGCTACTTTGGACATAATTTAAAATCTGAAACTTTTGAGATTTTTTTTTATCTATTTATTTATTATTTTATTATGGAAAGTTTACATTTCAGTGTTTGAGCAGCAATTGTACATGTGAAAATCATTAATTTTCCTTTCGACAGTTGGGGGCTGTTTTAGCGGAAGTCATCAAAATATTTTGGATTGCATATTGCCAGTAAAGATCAAATTCTCAGAGAGGCTAAATGTACCAAAAAGATCATTTTAAGGTAATTAGAAGATTTGTAAGGTGATCATTTGAAGAAGCTGTTATGTATGACTAGTCCATGCTTTAATAGAGCAGAATATGCTTACTCAAATTTTGGCATGTGGTTCTTTGCTGGGAAGAAAAAAAGAAGCCCCATTTTAAAAATGGCTCATTACTGAGTTGAGAGGTGGATACAATAATATTACTAGAAAAAGATCATGGAGAAATTTCTTTAGTAACTCCATCTTAGTACACCATCCAAAAATGTAATGCTTTTATATGGTTGAACTACAAAGGAATTCTGTACTATGAATTATTGCTACTAAATTCAACAATAATTGCAGAAAAATATACTCTTCCCAAATGGGAGTTTCAAAAGGAGAAATTGAACAATGTGCCCAGAATTGATCAGTTGTCGAGATGTTCTTTTCCATCATGACAATGCTCGGCCCCACATTTCAATGAAATTCAGACAAAGGTTTATTGAGCATGTATGGGATGTTTTGTGTCACTGCCATATTCACCAGACCTAGTCATAATTCTGATACTGTGTGAGTGAACTCAAATTTCTGAAAAGTTAAGAGGATTGTGAAAGGTCCAGATAATTGATCAATCCAATTATTAGCTGTCTAGATTCCTTACTTTGTACTGTATTTTTAGTATTTGAAAAATGTATTAAAGGTGAAAAGAGGTGGGCGATTCAAACACCATGTCTCTGTACTTCTTGTCTCATACCTTCCCTCTGGTGGAACTGTTGTATGCAAGTTGTCGCAGAATAATTTTTGGAAATCGAAAAATGTTCCTAAATTTGTGTTCTTTCAAATAATATATAAGTTAGTTGTTGCAAACTATCCAAAAATTTATAGGCTGATATTTTAAATGTGTTTCTAACATTTCAAAAAAAAAAAAAAAATTAAGGATGTTTTCTGTTACTTGTTTTTTGCAGAGAGGAGAAGCAGCACAAATTCTGGGTAAAAAATCAGATCGTCAAGAGAAAATATTGCAAGTTTGATAAAGAAACAGATCTCCTTACTCATGCTGCTAAAGAACAGATACGTTATTTGCATAGACTTGATCCATTGAAATGGACTCCTGAAATATTGGCAGAAAGCTTCCCAATAAGTGTTAATGGGGTAAAAGTAAGTTTTGTTCTTTATTGTACAATTAATTTAATGGTATGTGGTTTACCTTTTCACCATAAAATTAAGTAATGAGATATAGTTTACTGGGGTAATCCAAACATAAACAATAAAAAAAGTTCTGAAAATAATATCATGCTCAAATAAAATAAGAAATGAAAATATAGCTTGTAATCAAACAAAACTGTCAGAAAGTTTCTGCATCCTCACATGAATATTTTAGTAAAAAAACAAAGAGTTTTGTAAATGTTTATGGGTATTTTTCTGATTATCCAGTCCCCCATTGAAAAGTTGTGAAAAAGTCTTCATGAAGCAAAGAAATATTTTGCCAGAATAATTATGTGGAAACCAAAATATCGCAAAAAATTATTTACTTGGCAACCTGGTTATATCTAATACTGATGTTGTACCATTCCAAGCTCGTCCAATTCTCTGATGTCTTTTTAATTGAAACTTTTAAGTGTTTTTGTATATGGGGAGAATAACAATGCAAAAAAGAAAGATTTCTCAAAAATGTTAAGTGTTTTATAACTGACGTTTCTTGCTTTTATAAATTTTATTGATTGATTTCGGTATGGAATTCTGTGCTACCATTTTGAAAGTGGCTGTTACCTTTTGCGCAGTAGCTTGGCGAAATATTAGTCACCAACGAGTTCACGACTTATTATTTGGGGATATGGATAATCATAAAATACCTCTTTATATTACCAGTTTTTTTAAAGTGATTTAAACTTTTTTATTTATTTAGAAACTTCTAAAGAATAAATTTGTTGAAAAGCGTCCAGAAAAAATTAAACTACATGATGAGGAAGTGGCCAAAAGATGGAAAATTCTACAGTCTGGAAGAGACTCATCTTTTATTTCTCCTGTGACTCAGAGGTTGTGGAGGGAAGGTAAACTGATACAGAATTATTATTCTGGAAATCCTAATCTTCCAGAAGTCCCTCATGATCATGCGCATGAAATTTTAAAAGAAGAAAAAGAAGAATGTATAGGGGAATTTTCTTCAATAATTAAGAGTTATGTTGAATATAAAAAGAAAACTGCATTAGAAAAGAATCCAAAGTCCCCTTTAAAAAGTAGTTCAGAAAATGAACTTATTAAATTAGAAAATAATTCTAGAGACCGACAAAAAGGGTCTTCCTCAATATTCAGCCCTGGTTATTTTGCATCTGAAGAAGCTGATGAACATTCGTCTGTTTATACCAAACGAAAGAAAGCCAAAGAAATTGGAGAAACAGACCTCTTGCATCCCCAGTTAAAAGAACATTTTGCAGGTGAAGTAGATAGGAAAAAATCAAAATCCGCTGCCGAAACTGAGTATCAAAAATGGATCCAAAAGCAATTGGAGACTGAGAAAATCGCAACTTCAAAACAGCCATATAATGCAAAAGAATTTTTTACACCAATATCTAAATATCAGAAGGACTATATTGAACTTAAGAGAGACAGTAGTGAATCAGATGAATTTATATATGATGATAGGATTGGATATCAGCATCCAAAAGGGAAAAATATCAAGCCAAAAATTTCTATACCATCAAAATTACATAAACAAGGCAAATTATACAAAAGAGGGCAGTGCATTTATGATGCTGATGGAGAATTTCTTTATAAATTGCCAAAGTGAATATACTGAACATTTATATCTGTAGACAGCAAACTTTCATATTTTATATTAAATGCTACATTTCTATAAAATTGCGCAAAACTTGTATGGTGTAATATTTATTATATTTTTAATACATGTTTAAATGTACTGAAACATTTAAACTTTGTGAAATTTGGTGACAATACTTTAATATCTTCTTGCTTTCCTAAAAAGTTTGAGTGCATAAACAAATTCTTCTTTGGGACTTGTATGATGAAAATTCTTTGGTACTTCCTTGTTAACCCTTTGCGACGCACTATACGTTAACTTCGGAATTTCAACAAAAAAAGTTGTATGCAGTCTATTTAGTCTTAAAAGAGTATACAGGTAAAATTTTTCACTTATCGTTTTAATTCTGTGGTTGTTCCATGAGGTGGAACACTGCGCCGACAGAGCTTTTAAAAGTGCGACTAAGCGAGCATCGCAGTGAAGCACGAAAATGAGGAGAAGCGTTTGTATAAGAATGAAAAAACTGTGTATTATGGCTGTATACATGGTTTCCTGGATATACACAATATTCTTGAATATATACAGATAAATGCGATAAATATCTATATACACAAGTCCTATATACAAAAATATTTACAAATTTTCCTATTTCTTAGCTTCGTGAAATTGTTCAAAGCAAGTCGCACCTTTTTGATGGAAGCACAAACCAACTACGTTTAAAATAATTAACTACAATTAATATTAAGATTTTATTATTAATATAAAATAAGCCTATAATATATACATACACGAAAAATATCTACACAATAATTGAAAATAAATGGGAATGAGACTAAAAAGCAGCAGCAAAAATTTTGCGCAGGTCTAAGTAAAGATGAGTCAAGCTACTAATAAAATTCCCGCCTAAAAACTACTCCCAAAAAATTCGAGATGCCAATATTAGGGCTTTCACAACACAAAACACACCTCACCCCTCAATACTGCTTTGTTTGAATTCATTCCCCCCCCCCCCCGAAAAAAAAAAACAACGTAAACAGAAAACGTAAACAACGGATGTTCTCTCCTAAGCACAGATGTTCTGATTCGTAACAGCATGAGATCACTAAAGGCTCAGTGTTCCCGCTAATGGAGCACCCGGGTTTATTCATTGATTCTGTGTATGGTTTTTGTATGAAAAATTTAAAAAAATATAGAACAAATAATTTGGAGTACAGCTAGCAAAATAATGCCTAATTTTTTTTCCAAATAAAATTTTTTATATCATTAAAAAAATAGAGAAAATTACTTGAAAAAAGTGGATTATAATAACACAATAAATGAAAATTCTGTGTCCTGCTGCTATCTACTGTTAAAAAGAAAAGTTCAAAGTATATTATAAAGGCATTTTTATCTATTTACGGTTGAATTTAAAGGTTTCAGAAGCGATTCAATTTGGGTGTTCCATGTAGTGGAACACTGAGCCACAAAGGGTTAAAGCAAATATCAAATAATGTGATAATAGCCTTCTGTGATAATTTGAAATATTCACATTAACTAAACTAACGACTAAGTGTGCTGATTTGGGCAATTAATATTTTATCAACTTTTATTTGTACCTGTCAAAAGTCCTCAGTTACAAATTTTTACAATAAGAATAATTAATCACTGTGGTAGTGCATTTTTATGCAAACAGTTCTTTTCTCCAGATGAAAATTAAGAGACTTTAAAACAAAACGAGGTTCACCAATAAGCATTTGTAAATCCTGGTGAAGGTAGTTTATGAAAATTTTCTCAACAATTAGCAAAATCGAAAGCCATGCGATGTAATTAGAAACATAAAAATGTACAATTATTTACTTATGTATTTTTTGTGCACGTGTAAAAAAAATTAATAAATAAAAGAACGGTAATATGTTGTCATCATTTTTTTCTCGAGTTTTGTTCCATTTGGAAAGTTCTCGTAATTTGTTTATTTTTAGTTTAAGAATAGAATATTGTTAGTGCTTAATTCAACATGAATGATTTAAATAAATTTCAATCTGAAAATTTAGTATTTAGCTGTAGCTGTAAACATGTTTGCATTACTAATTTCAGACTGAAAGTTTAATATTATGTTTAGATTACCAAGTGCAACCAACAGAAGTGATTAATAAATCTGTAGATATCAGACAGAAAATAAATTGTAATTTTTTCCTTTCCATTATTACTGTTTATGATCATTTTGATAAATATTTATTAAATACAATTTTTAATTTACTTAAATATTTTCTATTTTGTTAAAAATATATATATACAGTCAAAAGTCTTTAATCTGGACTCGTCGGGACTTCGGCGATTCTGGATTATCGATTTTTCCGGATTATAGATCATCAGTTTAAATCTGGTAAGATGGCATGCAGAAATTATAAAATTAAAAATATGAAACCGTAATTTATAAAATAATGAGCAATTATGATCTAAAGGGTATCAAAATTTACCAAAAAAAAAAGCCTAATATTTATTTGTTTACTTTATTAAACATTTCTTTCAACGCGCGGATGCGTAAAGCATACCTTACGCATAGCCGAAATTAGAAAATTGCAACCAGAAAACTATTTGATTTGTATTCGTGATATTTATAATGATGAGGAATTTGATTTAAATCATATCAAAGACGGAGTACATCGAAATTAAATACTACATTTAGTAAGGAATTATAAGCACAATAAAAATAAAAACATCTGCCCTGAAGATAACGATAGTGTTGACAGATCAACTTCCAGTTCATTGCGCGCCGCGACGTCCCCCCCCTGCGCAGAGCAGCGTGAAATTGATAAACAGATTTCGGAACGGTTAGATAAACAAAGGATATGCTTTTATCCATTTTTTGTAGCAATTCGTTTTTTTTTGTTTGATGGACATCGAAACATACTTTTCGTTTTCTAGATCCTTTGGGAGCTCCAGCATCGGAAATTCTATTTGACATAATCGAAAGTTCAAGCTTACTTTTAGAAAATTGCTCTTACAGTCTGCAAAAAATAATAAGCCGGATCCAATTCGAAGATTAAGGAACAACGCAATTATCAACATTAACTGAAATAGATAATTAGATAATTTTAGTTTATACCGTCCGTTATACATTAAACGCGCACGCGAAAACGTATTCTGCACTTGCGCACACGCATGTGCGCAGTAGTCAAGGTCTTACGCGCACGCGTAAAACGCCTGTGCGCATGTGCCCCAACGCGGCGCATGCGCAGAAAGTTTTTAGCTTTGAGGTCCGGATTATAGATCATTCCGGATTACGGGTGTCCGAATTAACGACTTTTGACTGTATATATATAAATCTTTCAGATTTTACATTACGCCCAAAGGAAAAATTTTTTTAATGTGTTGTGTGTTACCTTTATTTATTAAATATCGTGTTTTTCACACTTAAGCCATAAAAATTCAGTTCAACAGCAATATCGCAAAATAATTTTAAAATGAGCATATCTTTAGAATTTCCAATACACAATCTTGCACGCTGGAGATAAAAGTGCTTTTTTCGTACAATGTTGCCACTACTCGTTTTGAAATTGTTGAGTTTGTTAATCAAAAATTCACTAAAGCTTTACAAAATATGTAGATGTATTTAATTATGGCAAAGCACACTAGGGCTATCTGCCTAAGGGGAGGGATGCCTTCGTGGAGGACTTTCTAAGGGAAACTGGCTCGTATACATGTTACACAAGTGGAAAACCGTGAAAACACCCATGCAGCCAGCCCGTTCGCGGGATTCGAACCTTGGACCGAACTGCCAGTGTTCAGCGACTTTACCACTCGGCCACTGGTGAGCACTCTTTACAAAATATGAAATAGGTAATAAAACAGATTTCAAATTTGGGCTTCCAGATGTCCATATTCAGGTGGAAACGTACGGTATTCAAAATTTCATGGCTCTAGGTACCATTGTTTTATCACAATGCAAGAAACATATAAATTTATGCAGATTCTTCATTATTTAATTTCTTTATTAATACAGGGCTCTAATATTTGGTGGCAACAATTTGAAAAGTGAACCAATGCAAAATGCCAAAACGAAATTAATAACCCTTCTGGGCAAATGCTCTTTGGGCTAAGAAGAGAAAAGAAACTCTTCATTTTGGTTTTTAGAAAAAAAATTTTTGACCTGTCAGCTGCTTTCATGTCATGCATTTGGTTCACATGCAACTTAGTTTGAGACCATTGCATTAGAATGTAGAATAAATCTTTGATTAATGATATTATTTATGTTATTTTGACCCAAAACAGCAATCCAAACTGGTAGCTTTGTATCAGTTTGTCAATATTTGTAACCATAAATGCTATCTTCTAATTATTCATTTTACAATAAATTGTATTTCTGACATGAATATTTTTATTTATCTAATTTTGAGACATTAAAATTTCTTGTTATGAAGGGTCTAATTCTGAGATTGAACTTCAATGATTTAGCGTCTGCAAACTAATTGTACATTGATTCAGCATTTTGGTCCCAAATGCCATTTTTATTGATGTCAGTGTAATTAAAAATTCAAACTTCTAGTTTAATCCATCGGACTAGGGTATAATCATTGTGTTTTGTTTCAAATTGTGATGGGAATGATATGCAAGATATTCCTTTAAACATATTTTTACATTTTATACAGCTGGCAACTCTTAGTTTTTCATCATATCTGCCCGTAGGTCACTGAATCTCCTGTTTTTTACTTTATAAGTCTATTTAAATAATTTTAAACAATATGTAAGATATTCCTTTAAACATATTTTTATGTTTTATATAGCTGGCAACTTCTAATTTTTCATCATATCTGCCTGTAGATCACTGAATCTCCCACTTTTGATTTTATAAGCCTATTTAAAGGTGAGAGCGCTGTAACAGATTCAACATTGGAGGTGCACCATTTGGAAGCCTATTACGTTACACCTCTAAGAGAAAACCAAAAGAGCATTGCCCTTCAGAGGATTCCAAGCCATTGTAATATTTTTAGAAATGAGATGGCAGATATACTTGCCAAGGCCAGATCCCTTATGGCCCAACCTGGTTCCCCTTTCTTTGCATAATATTAAAAGAATTATATATAATAAAATGAAAAATAGCAGAATATCCTTATACGTTGATGCAGCAGTGGATAAGAAGTGGAATATCCTGCTCAAGAAAAGAAATAAAATCTCTCACTTCCTTACTTCAGGCTGTTGAAGTT